TGTTGTTTTGTTGTTTTGTTGTTTTGTTGTTTTGTTGTTTTGTTGTTTGGTTGTTTGTTGTTTTTTTTGCCATCCAGTAACATTTATATGATTAATGTCCTGCGAATGGCATATTGCCGAGTATCGAGTGGAAGGACTTGGAAGATGGGAAAAAATGTTGACCAGGATGGAAAAATGAGCATTTATTTTTTAATAGCTAATGCAGCCCGATTCGACCGATCAAACAAAAAAATCACTGAGAAATGGAAATATTCATTGTACCCTGTGGTAAACGAGGTGAGCTCTGTTTCTGCTCCTTTATCCTATTCTGTTTTTACAGCTTACTTACTAACCCAACTTTTGAATCTTTGATCGTCAAAAATGGAATCGCAAATGCTTTCCTCCATGTTCCTTTCATGTAGAGTTCTCCATTAAGTGTAGGTACAGGTACTTGTAGTTTTAAGGTTCCACCGACATATAGTTCATCCTTACTAACAACTGCTGTTCCTTTTACAATCTCTCCCTTTATTGGAATTGCTAACTCGATGGTAAATGCAAGAGCTGGTAAAGGCGTGGCAAATTTGATCTATAAAAAGAGATGTCACGAAATAAATCATTTAAGTATTCATTGAAGTACTTTAATTGCTATTGCTATTGTTTTCACTGCTACACGCTGATCAAAACAACAGTCGCGACGGGGAAATCAAGCAGTAGACTACTGTCAATCAAATAAATCGTTATGGTGACGTTATATATAGGCGTAGCTCAGGTGGTTAGTGTGCGGCCTTCAGAACTTGAGGTCCACGGTGCCCAAACTGACTCAGATCTTTACAGTGATAATATTAAGTCCTTTAAAGGAATAACTGAGCTCCGTAAGCAGAATATTAAGCCCTGAATACCTGCAAGTGAATATTCTACATATACATGATTCAAAAATGTTGCTGTCTATCTATCAGCTATAGACACATGTACTCATCGAGTACGTATTTTTATTTTTTGTTTTCGAGGGCCACAAGTTGTATAACTGAGACATTAATTTTGCTGCTACTATAATAAAATAAAAATTAAAAAATATTAATAAAGATGATGCTAAACGAGACGATGTTTAACATCAATTTTTCGAGCTAAAAGTTGGCCTCGTGTAACATAGTGCGCGGTTACGATCTTGAACGATATTTAGACTCTTGTCTCGATCAGCGCGTAGCAATAGTGCACTAATCAATTGAAACCCTCGCCCCCTACTCCCGAGACAGGGCGGCGCAGTACTAATGATTCCCGCCCCGCCCCGGAGGTCTGAGAGTGGAGGTTTCAATTATTGAAGAGTTCATAAAAACAGTAGTGAATCACCAGAAAATTGTTATAACTAAAAAATGAATAACTAGATGGCTTACCTCCACAGATAACTCGATTTTGCTCAGTCTAAACTTGCCTTTGTTCGTTCCTTCTGGTAACTTAGCAATTCTTCCAACGACCTTCGCCATAGAACACTTGACAAAACCGTAGAACTGTATGTTGGTGTTCGCTCCAAGGAGTTTTACAGCAAATTTACACATGATTGAGTCTCCGCACTCCTGATATTCAGGTAGCTTGGCGTTAAATCCAAAGAAAAGGCCGTCCGTTATGAGATCGTTTTTCATTGTTCGCAAAGGTTCGCGAGTGAACTGAACGGCAGTATCAGTGAAATCGAAGCCTTCTTGAGCGAAACAGAAACCAATCTGAAAAAAAAAAAATCAAATTTTGCAAGGAGCTCAAAAGAGACCGTAGTAGTTTGGGTGTGATGTTTTCCAATTTCAGAAAATCTGTCAATTTCTTGAGTAGAAGCTTTGCACCATCACGTGAAGGCAGCAATAACATGAGCCAAAACATGACTTTTTCTGGATGGCAAAAAAAATTCAGACTTCTTTTATTTAAATAAATTATTTTCCTGGATTACTAATTTGACTAAAAAAATTAGTTATCTCGCCCTCATGGCCTATGAGTCAATAGCCCATCCGGGTTTGGGGACTAATTGCTAATTAGAGCGTATGCGCATGCGTGCATTCCAGCACAGGAAATGACATTGGGGAAAAATAAAACTCTGTAGATTTGGATGAGACCAAATAAGCTTTACTCACAGCAGGTTCCCGTAGTTTTCCAAACAAATGAACACTATTGCCGCAGAATATCCTGTTGGTCAGTCCCTGCAGTTCTGCCTGGTCAGCGGTGATCCCCACAGCAAACACTCCATTCTTAATGACCTCAAAATGAATATTCGCTCTAATAAGTGCAATGGGTTCTGCAGTGCCGGTTACTCGTATAGCAAACACCCCGCCCTTGTTATGGATACCAATAGAAAGTTCTTTTACTCGGACTAAATATAGCCCTATCTTTTTCAAGATATCAAAAATAAATGACTTGATTTCCAAACTGTTTACAAATGAACGGGTCCTTGTGTATTCCGTGGTATCTTTTTTATTACTAATGTCTAATATTCTGTTCCGCAATGATTGGTCTAGCTTGTTTGAAATCAATACAGAGGAATTGGTAGCACTTTGGTAGACGTTTTGGACCTGATCTGAATCTTTGCCAAAATTAGTGTTGAGCCTTCCATCTAACTTTTCAATTTCATCTTCGTTTTTGTTATCACCTCGTTCAAAAGATGGTGTTGCCATTGCTGCTTCGATTCTCGCTTAAAAACAATTGAAAGATAGATTGATAAATAAGAACACTTTCAGTATAGATAGATCCAGTCAAGTACCAAAAACCTTGCAGGGAGTCGTTAAGGCATGTGTTAACGTTTTTAACCCACTCCCTCAAGTATTGCTATGATTCAAGTATGTCTGAAGCAAAAGCCAAACAGTTCAGATTGAATTTGGAAAAATATATACGATCATGAAGTATTGACCTTCCTGCAGGATGACTGAACATCATCAAGGGCGCTTACCACTAATACTTGAAACAATACATTTGGTTGAAAATGTGTTTGCTAATGGTAAGAAAAGAGCGCGAAACTTTGAATTCCGATAAATGGTACATGCGTCTACCGGAAGAACCAAAAGAGCGGAAAAGTGGATTTCCTCAATCGGAAGACCGAGTTTTCCGGAACTTTCCGATTGGAATGGCACATACCCCGTCTTTGGTCCAACCGGAATTTCCGGTTTTTCCGGCGGRTAAATGGAAAGTGCCCCAGTACCGTCTACGACTGCTTTGAACTTGTTCAAAAAAGAACTACCTGCATTAGTGTAATCACGACTGGTTCCAGTTGCCTCGAATTCCTTTTCGTTGACTCCAGTCACCTCTAACTCAAACTTTGCTCCTGCGATATCCTTATAACCATGTGCAAATATTCTTTGATTAGTCGGCGTGTATTGGAAATAAAATCTTGGTTTGTCCAGTGTGAACTTCTGTGTGGAGTACTGATCCTCCGTACCAAGTAGAAAATTACCTGGAAAAATGCATTAATTTATTGAAAATATTGGGTGATACAACAACAAAAATACGAGACAGTTTTCCAAAAGCACTTCTTGTTGGTCGAGAGAATCGAGCGAAAAGAAAATCCCATGGGCACTGAGGAAGAGAAGTGCCAAGGAAATCGACCAATGAGAAGTGAGTTTGGAAAAAAAGGGGTTTGACAAATGAGTGACGTTTCAGGGACGTCTGGCATCTTGTTATGACAAGCCTATGGAAGACGAGGAAAGTCAAACACGTTTTTGAACATAAATCTGAAACCGTTTGAGGTTTTTACTAAGTTTTGGTCAAACAAGTAAGACCACAAATCAGAAAGGAAGCAAAAAATGTCTTGAAAACGACTTTCTGTACTAAGAGCCCATTAAGAGCCCATTAAGAGCCCATTAGAGAGTCATACAAATCTATATCATTAAAAGTGTGTTCAACTATAAATATTTTTTAAATCTTTGTATTTTCTTTTACGGACTCCTATGAAAAACATTGCTTGGGCTGCCTGCATTACATGAAGTCAAGTAAAATGGCGGCGATGCCGTAACATGCTCCTCAAGAATGGACTACTTCGAAGATGCGAAGGCCATCTTTAATCGTAATGCATTTTGGGTCGTCCAATTTGGGGGGGATTAAGCTATTTACAGTAATGAAGTCGATTGATTTTAACAGCTCACCACAAGAGAATACAAAACAAATGATGAATTAAGGCAGCACATCGATTACCTTTACCCATAAAAGAAAGATTAGCACACGAAAATATATATATTCATATATATCATCTTTGTTTTGTTTTGCCCCCTGGCAAGATGGCCGCCGTATCGTCGAAGTAGGCCATTATGGGATAAGTTGACTGGAATATCGGGAAGAGTATTCTTTTTATTCCTACCTGCATATAGGGAGCCATCATTTCTCAGATAAACGCTGATGATCTTAGTATGATTCAAGTCACCTGGTCGTTGATACGACGGAGGAGCCGGAAGTTGAGAGAACTTAGGAAACGATTGATTCAACTGACCAACCATTAACATTAATGCTGGTTCAAAACAGAGTTTAGTCAAATTCGTTTCTTGTACTTTGACATAAGTTCTGGCGACATATCCACTTCTCAGAAATTGTTTAATGCCTTTGAAGTAAGTGTTCAAAGTTAGGTCTACACATTTATCGTTCTCTTGACTGTCCACAAGAGAAGCTGTGTCGGACGGGCATTCTGCATACAACTCCGAAGATTGCAGAATTTTCTTAGAGGCTGCTCGATCTCGAGGACCGTCTACAAAACGAAAGATTGTAAATAATGATATTGTAATAAAAATATTTGAGATACTATACGTGCGCTCTGATTGGTCACAACGCTTGAAAAACTATATTTAATATATCAGAGTGCAAAAACACGCTCAGCTAAAACGTCTTATTTATTTTATAAAAGTAATATAAAACGTCTGCTCGTGGTTATATATTATATAATTTGATAGATGGGAACTATAGAGCACCCAAGAAGTCAAAGAGAAACTCGGCAACGCTTCGTGTTTTTCTACGACTTCTATCTTGCTTACAACTCATTAGCTCGCTTTACAAATGACTTCACAGGTCAGAAGCAGGTTTAAACCACGGCAGCCATATTGGAGGACAACTACTAATTGACATTTTGACTCGTGTAAAAACATTTCATTAATCAAACATCGCGGCATCTTATTGATCAAAATAGCTGCCATCACCAAACAGTGCAAACCCTTGTGCCTTCTTAAAGATTAAAGCATGTTTAGGGCATTTGATTGGTTTTTTCATCACATCGTATCGACCAATTATAAAATATTTACCAATGCAGTTTTGTGTTGGACATTCGATTTTTTCAGTGTTGGTGCCAGGACACTGGTCTCCACCTTCTCTAGGAATCGGATTGTTACATTCTCGTTTTCTTGTTTTCTGCCCTTTGTGACAGTACAATTTCTCCGAACACTCCCCAAACTCGCCCCAGGCCCCCCAGTTTCCATCGACAGCGTCTAATAAAGATAACAAAAAAAAACATTTTTTCAAGAAAGTTGAACCTTCAATGAACATTTTCAAGCAAAACTTTCAAAGAAAACGAAAACGAATAACTACAACGACAATAGCTATACAACAATAAGAAATGACAACTGACAATGCACGAATAATAACAGTAAGAGCAGCAATGACAAACGTTTGGCTATCTTACTTGGACATGGTCTTATTTTACAAGTACTTGTGTGTACGCTTAGGTCTCCACAGTCTCTACCCCCGTATTCTGGCTCTGGATTGTCACATTTACGACTCCTGGTTATGTAGCCTTGTCCACAGGTTTTGCTACATCGAGACCACTCACCCCACTCGCCCCAACCTCCATCGACTGCCAAAAAATATCAACTGGTCGTTAGAAAACTAAACGCTTGAATATCAAAAATCTTTAAACCTTTTAAGAAATTAAGATTTTCTTGTATATATCATAATACGAATACCAGTATGTGCATATTATGTATGTACACATCATTCAGCTACCAACTTTCAGTTCTTGCATCAAGTTTACTTAAACGTAATATATCTGCAGGTCTTACTTGGACAGGAGTTCGGACAGTCCATTGCAGATTCTATCTCATCTCCAGGACAAATCATTCCTCCTCGCGCAGGAGTGGGATTGTCACACTTCCGAGTTCTAGTTACCAGGCCTCCTCCACAAGTCTTTGCGCATGCGGACCATGCTGACCATTCAGACCACTGACCATCAAGTCGCGCAGCTGCAGACAAATGGAGACAAAACTATGAATCTTAGTTCTTATCTCTTAAGTCTCTTAAGGAGGCTCAGGGTAGTTTTGGTCTGGCACACCTAGCCGCATTGAAACGGCTACAACTTCGTYTTGAATAACTCGATCTGCAAGCGCTTTTCACACAATGTCAGGAAAGGATTAAAGGTTTCAAAAATGATTAATTAGTTTAAAGCGGCCTTTTCATTATGACGTAATGATGACATCATAGAAATCGTTTACCGCGTATTTTCTCGAAAACTAGACCTAAACTTTCAAAGCGACTTGCACCAGTCGATAGTATTCATCAAGGCACCCAACATATTGCAATATGAAAAAAATGTATGAGAGCGTTTTCCA